CAGCCACCGAGCAGTAGATTTCCTCATCTTCACTCCAGAGAAAGGCTCATTGATCTACAAGCAATCTTACCTCTGAACGGTAACTCTTACAGATCTGGGGTTTCTGAACAAGTCAGTATATGTACACCTCAGCCAACAGGGATTGGCTCAGAAATGGACATGTAACTTTACCCAGGCCGATGAGATGTGAGGGGCATGTACTTAGCGTTTCTAGGAAAGAAGTATCATCACTCTTGGGAGACAGCCTCAGGGAGACCAGCCTATCTTGATCCAAAGATTACCATATATGTGCATAAAATATGGTACCATGACAACCATCTCATTCATGAGGGGGTAAGGCCAGAACAAAATGGCAAAGCCAGAAGATTCACATACTAGGGTTTTTCCATCATATAACCAATATTTTGCTCTTTATACAAATTTCACTTGGTTTTTTTCAACTGAATTATCCTGACAAAATTACTTAAGTTAGTCTTTAGGATCTGGCTTCAGTATAACTTTCTAATCTTTAATCCCAAAACATCACCCAGAATTTCCCAAACACATCACACCATTCATACATTTTGCAAATGTGTTTCTTTCTGTTTGGATGAATACCCTTTGCGCTTCTCTGCCTGGGCAATTCAAATGGCTTCACAATGATGTGGTTCACATCTGTCTCTCCAACTTGTCTTGGCAATTTCATTTTCAAACTTAACACATAGTAGGCACTTCAAAAAGCAGCATTAACAAAAATGACAGGTAGCTTGGAAATCTGGATGGTGATACAGTCTTATTCTACAACATGATCATCTAGTTCAATGCTGCCTGAAAAACTTTCTACACTAAATGCAGTGTTCTATACTTGCTCTGTGCAATAAAATGAATAGCCACTAGCCACATATGGTTCTTGTGTACTTGAACTAAGGTCACTGCAGAACTGAATTCTAAAGTTTCATTTACTTGCAATTAATTTAAATAGTCACATGTGGCTAATGGCTATGAATTGTGTATCACATACTAGACAACAAATGAAGAAAAATAATTTTAAACATTGGAATGAGTCATCTAAATGATTTGAGATACTGTGCAATGTGGAAACACTTAGAGACAGTGTTATTTTGACTCTAACATTTTAAAAAATCTTGATAGCATAAAATTAACATAATCTAGAGTTTTTCTTCCCCATTTAAAACAGAATCTTAGCTTACTTGTCTTTATTTTGAATTTTCAGTTTCAATGTGAATACAAGTGACAACATTCACTTGTCTCTCAGGCGGTCAGTGACTACCTGTTGGATAATTCTTGACTTGCACAAGCTTTACCTATAGCCAATCAACAACAACATCCTCATATTCTGAAGCATGCCTGATTTGCAGAGTGGAGGTTTTTTAGTTTTGAAATGCCCAGAATCGAAATCAAACAAGTATTTTTTCCTATGGAAAGTGTCTTTATAAGGATCAGATTCTACATAATAGCAAGGAAGTAGGATGTGCATAACCAATGGCTTGTTTTTATCAACTTGCCAGGTGATAGATCTGTTTTGTTTCCTGCAAAGTAGCCATGTAGACGTGATGAATTACCACAAATAATGAAGTTTTTAGATATATTAATGTAGAACAGCTTCTGTTAGCAGCTAGGTGAGACAGGCGCCCCTAGCGGCATATCCTGTATTAACATACCTTTAAATTTTCTTTCCTTTTGGTTGCAGCTTGCATCTTTTTGGAAAAAGAAGCTAAGTGTGCCTAGCAGTCTTCCAGGTACCCATCTTCTCTTCTTGAACTAGGACCTTAAACTGAGCATGCACAGTAATGTCCATCTTGAATTGAGCATGATGGAAAATATCCCTGCCTACAAACTGCTTTCCCATGTGAGTATGTACAGATTCCCAGAATAAAATCCCCAAGCTTCCTTTGTTGTTGGAGGGCATACTTTGAAAATAACTCTAAGCTCTCCTTACCTGCTGTAGGTAATAAGTCTTTCTCCATTTTTTTCCCTTGGCTGTACTTATTTGCAGTTTGTACTCACCAACATGTGAATCCTTTGCATTCAGTTGTAGTTCCTTCTCTTCTAGAATTTTTTTTTATGGAAAAAAATCTATGCAATAAGCTCTAATTAGCATAATTTAGTAAATAAATGGGGTTAAAGCCACATCTTATGAAGTTAGAACTGGATTGGAATTCAGAAAAGTTTGGTGGAGGGGAGGAAGAGGAGGAGAGAGAGAGAGAATGAGAGAGAGAGAGAGAGAGAGACTAACTGACTGACTCCCTGGGTGAGCAAGGTATTATTCTGAAAGGTGATAAAATTGCTTTTGTTGAAAAGCATTGACTTGGGCCCATGAAATGACTAGCAGCAGGAGAGAAGCTTGGCATCCCTGCCTCCATTTTATATCTGTCTTTGCTCTGAGCCATTCTCTCTGTAGTCATTTTGCAATCACTTTGGAATCCAGGAAGGACAGGACTGATCCATAGTATCTTTATGACAAGGGACTAAAACTACCCCTAAGGAACTACAGAGCCTTGCAGGACAGAACTCCCCGCCTCACCCCAAGTGAGGAGAAATACCTATAATGATGAAGCTGCACTCTGGAGCAGGAACAATCATCTCATGGAACCATCACCTTCAAGTGATGACAATGATAACAACTTCTCCAGAACCTCTCACAGAACCAGAACTGATATAATGGTCATCCAGGCCACACTATGACCAGGACTGTTTAATTATCCATACCTCTTTCCCCCTGCTCCAATTCTTCCTCTATTCAAAACTAAGACTCTTATCTGTACTCCAAAGACAGCTGAAGATGGGCTGAGTGCTTACTCTGCCTCTTCTCACAGTGTGTCCCAGGCTACGTAATAAACATATCTCTGCCCTTTACCATGTCTCCTTATTTGGCCTATGGGGCGAGTAGCCAGACCTGACATATGGAAGCCCAGCAGTGTGGGCCTAAAAGTCTGGTTTCATCATTACCACATTTTACAGATAAGGAAACCAGGGCTCAGCAAGGTATGGATCTTGCCACAGTCTCAGCTAGTTGATAGTGCTGAGATTCAAACCCAGGTCAGTCTGACTTTGAAGCCCCAGCTCTTAAGTGCATCTGATAAGAACAGGTGGTTTCTAGGTGGTGCCGTTGATCCTGGTCCACACCTTGACAGCCACTGTTTATAAAAGCCAACAGCTGACAAAATATAGCCCAATAGTAGAAATAGGTGTGGGGATCTGAAGGCGTTTCACAGATGTTATACATAGTACAATCAAGATTTCCAGAACAAAAGTAATCCTGCTGGGTGATCAAATACAGTGTCAAACAGAACAGTGGGTAAAACTTATGCTGACCACAGAACTGTCTGCCATAGCATTTCTCTAGAAATCCACGGCTGGCCTTAAAACCACTAGGCTGCATGTCACTCTGTGATGAATACAAAGTCCATCAGGGGCTTGTAACTGAGCAAGGCTATCTGAGGAGGGACCCGGGAGTTTATTCTAGGCTTTGGTTTTATGGTATAGTCTTTTGATCTTACTGTTTTTCAAAGGGCCTTGCTGTACCACTTCCAGTCCTTTCTGCTTCGATTATGTTTCAGATAGGGTTTCCTGTCTTTTCCTTCCCCAGGCTATCCTCAGACTGCAAGTCTACCATCACTTCGAGTAGTAGGGAACACATGCAAGCATCTCCACACCTGGCTTTGCTCTTATTCGCAAGACGTTATTATGAAGGCTCTGCAGGAGAGGAGAAAGAGTGCTGTCCTAGAGTCAGACTGGGTGTTCTGAAGTCTGATACCCCTGTACTAGCTCAGTGGCCTTTGGTAAGGTAACACTGTTGACATCAGTTTTCCCCAACTGTAAAATGAAAATATTAGTGACCCTTACTTCACAAGCTGTAAAGATAGAGTAAGGAAAACATGAAAAGCCTTTTGATAGAGTCTGCATTAAGTTTCCTGTATTAAGTATCCAGGAAATGTTAGTGGGATGAGTTGTCCCAAACTTTGTAGGCCTCAAGATGAGACTTTCAGCTCACTTGATGATGGTGTCCACAGACATCTTATCCTGGTTTCTCAGATAAACTTGACCCTCAGTGTTGCTAGGCAGTCTCTACTGTGCTGTACTAGCAGGTGTACATGGGTCTATTAATTAGATGTTAGCATTCTTATACATGAAGAGATTAAAAAAACTTCAAATCTTCCTTTTGCCTAGCTGAGGTGACCCTAGACATCCTAAAGGGTACTATGAACCAGACAGGTACATTTTCTTATTAGTTGCTTTTCCTTCAGGAACTAAGGGATTCTATTTTAAACACTGTGAATCTGGGGCTGAAGAGCTGAAGTGACAACCAATCAATAAGCCAGAATTTGAACCCAGATGTATTTGAGAACAAAGCCTACGCTGCCTTGGAATTTATAAATTAAAACATGAGAGCATATGCATAATATATCCTTTGGAGTGAAGAGAGGTTTAAATACACAAACGCACATTCACAGAGATATAATCTTTCATTTCCAATATTTTTACCTTAAAAGAACTTGTGGAATAATAGAAATATCAGACTTATGCAGATATGAGCCAGACCATGAAGACTTTGTGCAGCTGAAAGGATTATTGCATAGATTCCTAGTATCATATCTGTTCCACGCAAAATAGAATAAAATATAATAGAAGAATAGGCAAAATTCTGGGAGGAAAATCATCTTATGTTTAGAAGAAAATACACTGAGAGTTCAGATAAACTTGTGACTGATTTTAAGTCTGGAGCAGCCACCCTGGGAGTGCTAGTATTTTGATTATTAATATTCTTCAGAGCAAGATGGTCTCCTCACCTTCCCTAGACTGAATCTAAGCACTCTCTATTCTCTTTTGGGAAAACACCACAGATACCCATAAGTGGTTTGTCGCTATCTTGGGTTTTCTCCCTTTCTCTGTGTGCACACATACCCTACCCCTACAGTTTGGGGCTACAGGGAACACATAGGGAGTCACTGTGTCCTAAGGCCTTGCCCATAACACAAGGCTTTCCCCATAAGGCATACCTTACTGTTGAGAATCTGGAAAACTCTCTGCTGGAGTGTTTGGCCAGCCTTGGGTCTCACAAGGATGTAAATGACTTTCAAGTTGGGGCTGGTACGAAACAGTTTCTCCATCAGCACTTTGCCCAGGAATCCTGTGGCCCCCGTGATGAGAATGGACTTGCCTCCATAGAAAGCTGCAATCATGGACATGGTTCCTCCTTCTATCTTTTATAGCTCCGGAAAGATGGTCCTAAAAAAGAAAAGAAATGACAAAAGGTTATAGTCTCAGAAGTTTCTAAAATGTGAAGACACATAAAGTGTGTCTAGGTTTCTAGAAGTTTCAGAAGTTGGAAGAAGAAGTTAGATATCATGAGAACATCATGACTCTGGGGCAACACGACCCATCCTAGTATCTATTGACTCTTGACTTTGTGCCAGGAACTGTAGGAGAGAAATGAGTAAGATAAAGCTCCTGCTTTCAAGGAATTGCTTGCAATCTAATAGAGGAGCCAGACACAGAAAGTCGTTGTTCAGTGTAACCTGGTGCTTGTTAGAACAATGCAAGCACAGGTGAGGGGTTCAGGGTGGTGTCTGGAGGTGGTGACACTTGGGCTTAAACTTGAAGGCATGGAAGGGCTGGGACAAAGGTATTTCAAGCCCGACAGCATAAGAGTGACCCCACAATCTGTGAAATCAAAGCTCAGAACAGCTATCAGCTATTTTTACAATGATGATATAACTAATATTTCAGTTGTAGATTTATCTAAAGATAATACTGGAACAAATAACCCAGTTCTACTTGAACTGCCTGTTCTTGCCTTCCAGCTATTTCTGAGTGTATGTGTTGTTCTCTTGCTCAAGCTGAAAATGGGTTGAGAGATGTTTTCTCTTGTATATGCTACTCCTGGGGTGAGCCTTGCAGAAAATGAAGGCAAATGAGGTTGAACAAGGAGGCCCAGACCACAGGTTTTGGGTGCCTTGAAATTGCCTCAGGGGTAATTTGCTACTCAGTCTATATAAGGTCGCTGTATCCAGAAAATTAGGTGGGGAAGCTAGACACAGCACTTGGATTCTGTGGCTGCCCATGAAAAGCACCACCTGCTGTAGAAATGCAGCAAGTGTTTTGTCTTCAGGTTGAACTTGAACATTGAAGACTTGACTGGAGGCAGGAGCACGGTGGTCTGCACCATACTGCTGATGTGCTCTCTGTTCACTGTCAACTGCAGCAAGTCCTTGACTTCCGCTTGGACAGGGCTTGTATGGATGGATCCTGCAGAACAACGCCAGGGATTGTCCTGACATCAGGGCTTATGAAGAAGAAGAAAAGACTAACGAAAAAGTCAAATCCTGCCTCCTTAACTCTGATCAACATCACTCTGCAGGTAATCCTTCAACAGCGATGGCTTTCTAGAGTTATAATTCATGTTTCAGGATTTGGGTACTGTACTCTTGGACAGAAAGAACTCCTTGATCTTACAAAATGCATTCATTCATGATTTTACTCTACAAATAATTTTGAGCCCCTACTATGCCAGACTCTAAGCTGAGTTCTGCAGATAAACAGATGCTTTCACACTAACAGGGGAGGCCAGCAACACAAAGACAAATAAACGCATACACAAAATGACTACAAATCCTTAGGCACAGCATGAAGTAAATGAAACTGATATTGTCACTGAAATCTGGATTTCAAGTCACATTACCTGTGTTCACCAAGTTACTGCTTAACATGTGAGGAAAACCCATTTAGTCTTTGTGCAAACAGTAATTAATGATGGTTTTTGTCATGTTACAGTAATGCTTTTTACATTATAATATATCCAATGACGTCTCAAGAATTTAGCACTTGGAGAAAGTATTAAATATTCTTGCCTTGCTTGCCTTAAAGCTCAGAGAAGTGGTGTCACCAAGTCTGGAAGGATGTATATGTCCTGGATAACTATAATGCTATAAATACAAGTAAATAATTATAACATAAACTGTAAACAAGACTGTCTGAAACCAAATCCCGGTCTTAACACTTATGAGCTATGTGACCTCTGGCAAATTAGTAATCTATGCTTCAGCTTCCTCATCAATAAAATGGGGATAACAAAAGTATCCTCTTAGTAGTGCTATGGTAAGGAGTGAGTTAATATGTAGAAAGACCTTAGAAGTGTAAGTTGTCTATAGCCCATACTCAGTTATGGGCTAATTCTGTAGTCACTGGTTTTATGTATTTCCTCTTAATGGTTTCTAGCTTTTCCTTTTGACATTTACATTTTTGTTTGAATATGATAGAAGTTTCTCTGGTTTTGCTTTTTTATTAGTGTAAATTAATTGTGTGAAGGGGTTTCATTGTGCTATTTCCACATACACATACAATGTACTTTGATCAGATGAACTCTATTATACTTTTCTTAACCATCCTCCCTCTCTTATTTATTTTTGTTAACACATCTTAATTTTATTTTTATTTATTTATTTATTTAATTCATATGTGCATACAATGTTTGGGTCATTTCTCCCCCCTTTCCCCCACCCTATCCCTTTCTCCCACCCCTTCCCTCTCCCCCCCAACTCCCTGGCTACCAGAAAGAAACTATTTTGCCTTTATCTCTAATTTTGTTGAAGAGAGAGTTAAGCAATAATAGGAAGGACCAAGGGTTTTTGCTGGTTGAGATAAGGGTAGCTATGCAGGGAGTTGACTCACCTCCCTCTCTTTTTAAACAGCATTTGGTGGGTTTCACTGCGGTATTTTCACACACATACACAGACATATATAATGTGCCTTGATCATACCTCCCTGTACTACCCTCTTATTCCCTCCATCCCTCTCCTTCTGGTTCCCCAACCAAACAACCCCCTTTTATAATTATGTATTATTATCATCATTATTTTAGGTAAAGATTCCACAGATAAAAATATGATAGCTGTCTTTTTGAGTTTGGTTTATCTTGTTCAACATGATGATCTTCAGTTCCATCCATTTTCCTGCAAATGACATAACTTCACTCTTTTTTATGACTGAATAATACTCCATTATGTATATTTTTCTTTATCTACTCAATGGTTGTTGAATGCCTGAAGCTATTTCCATAGCTTGTCTATTATGAATAGTGCTGCAATAAACATGGGTGTGCAGGTATCTCTATTGTATGCCAACTTATTGACATCTACTTTAAATGTCCTTCCTCATGTATTTTGTTTGTTTGTTTTGTTTTTGGTGGTACTGGGGGTTGAACTCAGGTCTTTGCACTTGCGAGGCAGGCATTCTACCAGTTGAATCACAACCCTAGCCTAGTCTTATGTATTTTATATGCCCTCTTTTTGGAAATAGAAGACAATTTATAATTCAGTCAATCAAAGAGCCAAGTAAAGTATTTTCACTAACTGAAACTCTACTTGATGATAAACATTGCCTATTCTTTATATATAAAAATATTTAGGCTGCTTATTCCTTTAATATGATATTAGGCATTAATAGACATGGTTGGCAGGAAAGTACAGATGAAAAACTGAGCTTGGAATCTCATTTGTCTGAGATGTCTTGAAATATTATGCTCTAATAGAATCATGTTTTTAAGAAGTACAAACATACCACTGAGATACTACAGTTCCACATGCTGTTTTGTAAAATATAATTTATAATTTTAGACAGCAAGTAAGGTATCTTTAATAAAACTCTTTCTCTTTTTTCTCCTTCTCCCTCCTCCCTCCTTTTCTCCCTTCCTCCTTCTCTTTAATGAGTTCCTTATGTGACAAAGGAAGGCTCACTGTGTCCCCAAATAATGGAATTTGTCTGCCCTGTCTAGAGTCCAGTTACTTCTCAAACAACAAAATCCATAACAGAGTGTAGTGTAGTGGGTGCTTTGACAGGAAAACAAAACATAAACCTGGCCCTTATTAACTGATTGTCACAAGTATGTGGCAGAGCAATTGAGACCCCAAATCTAATGAGTTCAAATAATTCTGCAAAATATCAAAGACAATTCCTTTCTTTTTCTTACTTCTAATTTCAAGATATGGCTTAGTTCCCGGCCTCTAAAACTTATATGCAAAACTCCCAGAATCCCAATTCCATATGCTACAATTTTTTGAGGCCCAAGAATTGTTAACTCTTAATGTCATTCATTAAAAAGTGAAATTATTTTTAAAACTTGTAATAATTTTACACTCAGTAATAGAATAGAGGCAGTGCTAGAAGGAGGAACATTTTAGAATGGATTACTTGATCATGGCCTGCCTCTCATATCTTCTCAGACTACTGGTACAGAGCAAAGAATAATTTCCCATGCTTCATACTCATGACATGGCTTATGAGAAGCCTAAGTTAGAATATTATTAACTCCTCCGCCTAGTCTCCTGAATAACACTGGGCCTCTGATGTTTGAATGAAACAGAGAAAGGACCTATGGAAGTCAGCCCACATATTGTTTATTGAATGTCTGCTATATACCAGGCACCACCTATGCACCGGGACTAGCAATGAACAGGCTTTACACAGGACAGATTCTTTAAAAGAATTAATACATAATTGTGTATCAGAAGAGTCTCCATTTCTATTTGAAGTACTTTTTTTTTCCTCTTTGGGATCTCTAGTTTCCATAGTCAGGAGTAGAGATGAATAGTTTTACCTCTCCCTTTGGTAGTAGAATGAAGCATTTTCTTTTCTAGAGATCAGCATCATTATAGCTATGTCAAGGTACATACTGTTAGAGGTTTCAGTATATGGGAACTTTCATTTTAGGTGGCTTTTGTGGAAAATTAAAAATTAGGATCCAAACACTTGAGGGAGACAAGTTTAACTAAATACCTTAATAATCCTGTGGAAAGAAATATTTCTAAAAGGAAATAAGAAACAAGGTGCTTTGCCATGCAGGTATCTTGCTCTTAACCAGAGTTTTCTATGTTGGCACTTATGATGTTTAGGCTAGATAAGTCTCTGTTGGGGAGGCTGCCTAGCATAATATGGGGTACTCAGCAGCATCCCTGGCCTCTTACCAGGTGGTAACAGTCCAACCCCACCAGCCAGCCATCTATGACATCTCAAAATATCTTCAGATCTGGCCAAATATGCCCTGAAGGGAAAAATTATGCCTCCCCAGAGAACCATTGTTTTAGAGCTTTCTTTAATTTTCATTGTATAATATTCAGCACATCCTATTAAAAATTTCAAAATTCAACATGCAAATTTCTTCTTGTAAAGTTAAGTATAGGTATGATCTACTGCCAATCCCTATTTTACCTGAATTAAATCATTCATAACTA